TTTCCTATGTCATGCACAACTTAAGAACAATGAGAAAAGAAACCAGGAATTGGAAACGGCTGAAAAAAATCCGGAGAATCCAAAGAACTCTGAGGGAAAAGTGAAATTTGGAAGGCGCTGCCCTGCAGGAGCAGGGAGGGGAGGAACAGTCGGGTGGGTGGTGTGGGTGATGGTTTGGGGGTCAGGCTGGCACCGGGCAGGGAATGCCCAGGGGGAGCAGCAGCTCTGGGCATGCAGGGAGGGCTGGGCACAGCTGGGCACTGGAACTGCACTGGAGATGCACTGAGAAATGCACTGAGAAATGCACTGGAAATGCACTGAAAAATTCACTGAGAAATTCACTGAAAAATTCACTGAAACCTGCACTGGAAATGCACTGAGAAATGCACTGAGAAATGCACTGAAAAATTCACTGGAACCTGCACTGAAACCTGCACTGGAGAATTCACTGGAAAATGCACTGAAAAATGCACTGGAAAATTCACTGAAACCTGCACTGGAAAATTCACTGGAAAATGCACTGAGCCCTGCAATGAAACCTGCACTGAGCCCTGCACTGGAACCTGCACTGGAAAATGCACTGAAAAATTCACTGAGCCCTGCACTGAAAAATTCACTGGAAAATGCACTGGAAAATGCACTGAAAAATGCACTGAGCCCTGCGCTGCCCAGCTGAGTGTGACCGCAGCAGCTCCACCAGCACACGCTCAGGGCAGAGCTGAATTGGGCTCAGCAGGACTGAAGCTCTGAGGAACAAAACCCTGCAGCCCCAAGGGAGGCTTTGGGCTGGGGCTCCATCCCATTAAATGGAACAGCTTGGCCAAATCAAATTCATTTCTCAGTGAATTCCTCAACAAGTCATTCCTCAGCTGGGATTGGATGATTTGGGGCTCCACTCCATAAAAATGGAACAGCTTGGCCAAATTCATTTGATTCCTCAGCTGGGATTGGATGTTGATTTGGGGCTCCACTCCACAAAAATGGAACAGCTTGGCCAAAACAAATTAATTTCTCAGTGAATTCCTCAACAAGTCATTCCTTAGCTGGGATTTGGGGCTCCACTCCACAAAAATGGAACAGCTTGTCCAAATCAAATTCATTTCTCAATGAATTCCTCAACAAGTCACTCCTCAGCTGGGATTGGATGATTTGGGGCTCCACTCCATAAAAATGGAACATTTTGTCCCACAGGCCATTGCTCAGCTGGGATCTGATGTTGATTTGGGGCTCCACTCCACAAAAATGGAACATTTTGTCCCAC